CTCTCCCTCTACCTCCCTCTCCCTCTCCCTCTACCTCCCCCCTCCCTCTTCCTCTCCCTCCCCCCTTCCTCTCCCTCTACCTCCCTCTCCCTCTCCCTCTACCTCCCCCCTCCCTCTTCCTCTCCCTCCCCCCTCCCTCTCCCTCTACCTCCCCCCTCCCTCTTCCTCTCCCTCCCCCCTCCCTCTCCCTCTACCTCCCTCTCCCTCTCCCTCTACCTCCCCCCTCCCTCTTCCTCTCCCTCCCCCCTTCCTCTCCCTCTACCTCCCTCTCCCTCTCCCTCTACCTCCCCCCTCCCTCTTCCTCTCCCTCCCCCCTTCCTCTCCCTCTACCTCCCTCTCCCTCTCCCTCTACCTCCCCCCTCCCTCTTCCTCTCCCTCCCCCCTCCCTCTCCCTCTACCTCCCTCCTCCCTCTACCTCCCCCTTCCCTCTCCCTCTTCCTCCTCCCTCTACCTCCCCCTTCCCTCTCCCTCTACCTCCCTCCCTCCCTTTGTTAAATTGACAATTCTAAACAGAAATAATTGTCACACTGGAAGGCAAAAGAAAATCCGCTTTACGTTGGAAGAGAGAAGCGAGAGTAACAAAAAGATAACAAGAGAAGAGAAAGATGCGCATTCTCTCTTCTCTCGGTGGTGATCTAAACGTATCGTCACTGATAAGGTATTTTAATTCACTGTTTTTACTTTATCCTCTTTTTGAGATTTTCTGGGGACGTTTTCTCAGCATTTTCTATCGTGAGCAATCTTCTAATTACTCATTAATGGGCCAAAATGTCGGATCATTAGTCACATATACGCGGGCCATAAATTTTACCGGGAGACTGCCGGGCTAAGCTTTAATTGCGTTTTTATAAAACGGTTTTGTATTTATGACTCTGACGCAATTCCAGACATTCGTTTTGACCAAATCGTAAATGCAAAAAATGCCAGAAAAAAAAAACAGCCAAACTCTTTTCAGTGGATTCTATACCAGGCTGTATTTGTTTACCTGGCCGACCGAATACACAAAACGAAAAGAAAAAAAAAATATCCTCATATGTGCTTACCATATTGATTCATTTAATCCTCTTTTTTTCGTATGACCACAAATGCACGCTTAGAGACTGTAACGTATTCATTACTTTCTGAGCATCTAACTAACCTCCCTGTCTCGCGAGTCCTTGGCTGCGTCTGCACCTCTGTTTGTGTTGTAACACTTAATTATAACTCCTCTGCTACTTCATAGCCTCTCACTGACATACCATGTGTTAGCTTGGTATGCTTCACCTCCGCTCTCAAAAAGCTTTGTTTTTTTCCCTATTCTCCCGGGTTAATCCCTTTTTGTTTTTTGTTTTTTGTTTTTTGTTTTTAGCTTAGCAGTACCAAAATAACTGCTTCCTTTAGTATTTCGTAGGTGATAAAGCCTGTATAATGAATGTGGATAAGAGCTTGAATTCTAGAACAGTTTTGCGCGAATTAATTATATCCCAATCGAGCGTTCCCGAGTATTCTAACTAGAAAGATGACAGAAATACTAACGAATGAAAAACAAAATTAAGGGGGGGAATTACTGAAATGTGGCGGGCGTCTTCCGTAGAGTTAGCCCCCCACACGTACTTTTCCTCCCGTGACCCTCTCCCGTGACGCACACTTGTCATCCAGATAACCCTCTTGCGTAAAAACCTGATTCATTGCATTCCTTCCCACCGCCGCCGCTGCCTGAAAAATATTCCTGACGCGTAAATCTGTTGCCATTGCCAATCTCAAATAGCTGACGAGAAAATGTAGGGGTAGGTTTATGTTTATGACGCGAAATTAACGGATTAACCTGTAAAATGCCTTTCCTTAAATCAGATCTCGTCATACGAGGCAAACTCAGCGAGGGGAAAAATGGCAATAAGAAAGACAAACAACGCATTTCCCTTCCTCTGAACCACGCCTTGCTTACTGTGGCGAAATTTCAAGGCTGAGCAACGGGGATCAGTGCTTATGAGTTATTTTCAGTCGACGTTTGATGTCATTGTGGAACTTAACTGCCAAGAAAGACGCTATTTTGGCTGCTAGAAAAACGGACGGCGGGTGGCACCTTCACCCCAAACGCAACCCCCTCCCCCTCTCCCTTCCCCCCTCCCACCCCAAGTACACTCACCTCGAAACCCTTTCACCTGCGTTTTAGGGGAAAAGGGCTCGGCGAGGGCTAGTCCGAAGGCGCTTTTCCTGAAGCTTTTCCTACTCTTCTATATTTCCCCTCGTTCTTCGTCGCTCTTTCCCTCTCATTGTTTCCCTTATACTTATACCCACATATACGTACATGCACACAAACATAAACACACACACACACACACACACACACACACACACACACACACACACACACACACACACACACACACACACACACACACACACACACACACATATGTACATATATATGTATATATATATACATATACAATTATATACATATACATATATAAATGTGTGTGTATATATATATATAAATATATATATATATATATATATA